TGGCAGCCCTGGGTCTCTCTCTGCTGAATGAGTTAGTGGCACCCTCAAAGTTATTTGTACAGTTTCTTGTGAAGGGCCTGGATTTCTCATTAAACCCACAAAGGCAGATGCAGGGATGCAGAGGGCCAGGATTTGGCATCTTAACTTTTTCATCAACCAAAGCATTCCCCAGAGATCTAGTACTCTCCCCTCCTGGCTCAAACTCCCACTCTGGGCAAGTCTCTAGACCCGTGGATAAGAAAGCACACATGCCACGGGACAGCTGGCTCTGGTTCCAGTTCTATCCCCGACCAGTGTAGGCTTTTCTGGGCCACCCCCCGCCCCCCAGCATGCAACCCCTGTGCACGCCTCTGTCATTGGAACAAATGGAAAGGCAGAGAATCTAACATTTGTTGATCACTTACTATGCACAAGTGTCATACACTTTCACTTAATCCTCACAACAATTTTAGGGTTAATAAACAACTTCGGGGTTAATAACACTTTGTTGGGTTGTAGCGAGGACTGTATGAGGTAATGTGTGTGAAGCACCTGACCTAGCATACAGCTGACGCTCACTGTGTAGTAGAGATTCTTACTGTTGTACCCATTTCACAGATGTAGAGTTCCTGAGCAGGGGAAGGTGAGGTCAGAGAAGCGGGGGGGAGCTAGGCCACGAAGGGGCTTTTGGGCCATGGAAAGGGTTGGTTTTTTATTGTAAATGTTTTTTTTTTTTTTGGTTTCTTTGGGTTTTTTTTGGCAGCTGGCTGGAACAGGGATCGAACCCTGGACCTTGGTATTATTAAGACCATGCTCTAATCAACTGAGCTAACCAGCCAGTTCTATTGTAAACGTTTAAAAACAACATGCTATTAGCAGAGGAAGTGAGGGGATCTATTTACATTTTTAAAAGCACATAGGAAGGGCTGCTGCGTGGAGCAAGGGATGAGAGGGTGGAAGCAGGCAGGCCTCGAGGACGGAGAAGGGCAGACTGGACCAGTGCAGGGGAAGCGGGGCTGATGCATTTCAGGCAGAGAATGAAAAATCCTGCAGGTGGATCAGACATGGGGCGTTAGGGAAAGAGAAGGATGACACCTAGAATTTTAGTTTGAGCAACTGAGTGTGTGGTAGTACCATTTCCTGACACGGGAAGGATGGGGAGGAACAGATTTGGGTGGAAAACTGATGTTAAGCTTTGGATGTGCTGTTAGAGATGCCTGTGAGTTATCCAGTGGAGATGCATGCAGACAGCTGCACATACACACACACACACACACACACACACATATATTTTTGACCCTGGTGTTACCAGCCCCCTGCTGTCCCAAGTGAGCTACCTGCCCAGTCCTGACAGCTGCATATATGAATCTGAATTTAGAATTCAGGGACTAGAAGAAAACATTTGAGAACCATTAGAATTTGGATCACAAAGAATCTCAGTAGTTTAGATGAACCCATGTATCCTAAGTGCTCTCTCCTCAAGTAATTGATTCATGTCAGCATCCAAGAAACACCCCTTATTTTAAAAAATATCAGATGAGAAACCCTCAGACAATTTGAATTTGAAGAATTTAGAATTTGCCAACGTACTTTTGGTTGTTCCAATAGATTTGAGCTTAAGGGGTAGGTTGCCAGAACGGTCTGTGTCGGGGACCCACTCTTCAGAATTTAGGAAGAGTTTTTAAGAAGATGAAACATAATGAATGACCACCTATCGCTGACTACCTATTATAAACTAGGTGGTTTACTTATGTTATCTCATCTAATGACCACAGTAGATATTTTGCATTGGAAATAGGGGCCCAGTGGTGTAACATGACTAGCTGGTAAGTGGTAAAACAAGGATTTGAACCTTGTTATTCATGACTCCAAAACCCACACACTTTCCTGTAACTCTGTACCGGAGTATTGGTGGAGTGGACGGATAATGACCACCGTGCTGTCGGGCCTGGACTCAACTAAGACAAAGCACAATTAATTATGGTGGTCCAACCTGCTTTAATCTGGAGGCAGGGGAGTATAAAGATGAGAGAGGGCTGAGACAGAGGGGTGCTTTTCCCTGACCTTACACATATTTCATTTCAGTTTAATAAATATGAGCATCTTCTACGTGTCAGGCATGATCCTAAGTGTTGGGACACAAAGAAGCCTTCCATGTAATGCCTGCTCACAATAAAGCAGATACATATGCAGCAAACTCTCACCCATGAATTAAAGCAGAATGGCTTTAATGTAGAAATGGTTATGAGTAATGCACAGATAACTTTCTCATCATTTTTGGGTCCAGAAAGCAGTCATTTTTCAATGGAGAACACTGGTCTTGGCAACGAGACCATTTCTTAGATGGACCTAGATGGCCTGGGCAAATCCACCCATTAAGTACAGATGTTTATTTTTTAAGTTCCAGTGTGCCACCTAATGTTGCATTTACTAACAATGGAAGTCAGTGGACTCTGGGGACCCAATATTGACTGGGATCCTTTCCAACCGAACTCCATCAAAAAAGGCAGTTATCTCCATGTGGTTTATTGGCCATATCTAAAGCAGTGAGATTTGTGCCTGGTCTTCAGACATTCATCCTGTTCCTAGGAAGGCCTGCGGGGAAAGGATGGAGGGAAAAATTGGGACCAGGTCAGAGGCAAAGTAGTAAATCTACTTTGGGAACACAAATCAATCAGAGAGAAGCTGACCAAAGGTAAAGTTGGGACTTTCGGTGGCTGGAATCATCAAACTGCCAAAGAACAAAGGCAAGGGCTGGCCCGGTGGCGCACTGCTACAGTGCGCCGCTTGGGAGTGCGGCGGCGCTCCTG